GAATCTCGAAACCAATTCCAGATGAATGAGAAATTGCGGACCAAAGTTGGAAGAAATGAAGTGTTGCAACTTTTCGAAATGTGCAGGTTTTGGCCCACACTACTTCATTTGCACTCTTTCTACATCTATAAATAGAACCCTATGAACATGGTTTTAGGTACACCAATTGCATTGAACATTTATTCTTCTCTTGCAATTCTCTTATTTCTAATTCTATAGCATTTTATATATTTCCTTTGTAGAGAGGAAATTCTGTAAAAAGTTCGTCGGTTTCTTGTGGTTTGAAGTGCTGCTACCACAAATTGTGAATCCATTGTATCTTGGAAAACCAGTGCCATTCACCGTGAGCACCGTAGCGGGGTAATTTGTCTTAAGGAAAGAGATAAATCTCGCCTTGTATTATTCTCTATTTCTACTCCTTCTTAATCCTTGTTTTGCGTAATCTTTATATCGAAACTCTGTCCAAATTTTCATTTATATAAATTGTGTTTTGATTACGCTCTTGCGGGTTAAAACTGGTCAAACAAATATATCAAAAGTCAATCCTTACATAACCCTTTTTATAAGTTGTTTCCAACATGAAGTTCATGCAAATCATTGAGCTTCACATACTCAAACAATTACAAGCTTCCATTTACAACATTAATTCATAAGATAGTTTGAATAACAAGTCAAGTCTATTGAATAAATTTGAAGTCCAGTAGTTAAAATACATTTTTATCAGTTCATTTACTAATATGTCAATGTGATTTCGTATACAAGATAAAATGATAGTTGTAAATATTATTTATATGTTATCCTTCTCCATGAATAGTGTCACAAACTATAACTATATGTAGTATAACGATAATAATTTACGAAGAATGGATTTTAAGTTGCAATTAAATTAAGGTGGTTGGTCCGAATTGAATTACGATGACTTAAAGTTTAAACATAGATTCAAGCCCCATTTGAAGTTATAGAAGATCCAACAGCTAGTTCCATTGTATCTACAATAACTTAATTGAAAACGATTCTTAATTAGAGCCACCATCACCAGTTATTTTCATTTGAATCAAGCTTTGATTGTGTCAAATGTATCTCGTGATTCCAAAATCAGCAAAATCCTATCACGCGACAAGAAAATCTATATTTTTAATAAGGAGACACACCAAATCCCAAAAGGATTTTTAGTAATCTGATCAGCTGAACTTTGTTAATCAATCTACCTAATTAATGCTAAAACTTTCTTAACAAACAAGTCTTAAATCAATTCCCCTTAAACTGCACATATTCAGTGAATTGTATGTTTCTTTACTTAAGAATCTTTAGTACAAATCAAAACAAAGATTTGATGGTCACATTACAAATTAATTTTATCCAATCAGACGGTTCAGAATAAGCAGTGAAGCTTCTTCAGAGGAAGAACTCAGCACAGGCAAATATCTAGGTAGCAGTTTCTAATGTGGTTAGGGGCCATGTCCTCATGAGTTTGTCACGTGCTATCATGCCCTTCTCGTACTGTGCGATTGTGTTATTTTACAACACATTCAGAGCGAACCAGCTTCAAACACTTGGACCAAGAACCCAGTCCACCAGTTGAAATTCCAGGCATTAGTTGAGTGTAATTTAATCTCCATTTTCTCCCTTAAAAGAGCCGCTCTTTTTCCATCTCAACGAATGATAATTAGGCTCCACATAAAAAGTAAGATATTAAGCCTTTGTTTATCCCACACTCTCTCCAAACTTTTTTTTTTTTACATACTCATTTTTAATCACATATTCATATAATAAAATATTCTACACGTAAACTCAAAAAATTTTCATACCCTTTAATCACACATTCTAAAAAGAATAACTATTTATAATAATATTTTTTTCCAAAAAATGGCCACTAAACAAGGGCTAAGCTCCTATTTAATATCCATCAAAACAAAACTCTTTTTTCTTTTGCTCAAAGTCATTTTCAATCACACATTCTTACAATAAAATATTCTATAAGTAAATTTAAAACATTTTCCTAATTTTTAACTTCACATTGTCTAAAAAATAATTATTCCAAAGCTCATTTTCATCAAAAATAAAATTTTAATGGTTGTCAAATAGGGGCTAAGTACCGTTTGGTAAGAATTAAAATCAACAATTAATTTTAATTACATATTTTAGAGGATCTACAACTTTTCAATTATATATTTTATCAACTTTTACTGAAATCATCTAAAAACATAATTTCAATCCCCATCAAACCAGGGCCAAAATGTGGACCAAAATTATCATGCAATATTTTAAGTCATATCAAGAGCTTATTTCTGAGATTTTTCAATTAAAAAATATTTTTGAGAGAATTTAAAAAAAAATAATAAAAAAATAGGAAAAGGTTATTATCACGTGAAATATATTGTGAAAAAAATTATTTTTAAATAATCTCTTTGAAACAAGCTCTAAGAATACCCTTACCACCTATGGTCTCTTTATACTATACAATATGTAGTATAACAGTTTCAAATGATTATACTAGAAAATTTTTGGAGTGCATTGGATCAAATCTGAAAGAGGCATTACTTGGTCAGGTCTAATTCATAATAAGTGAAAAAAGAATCTACCTTTAGCTCTATGGCTTTTAGCGGCAAGGGACAGGGATAGAAAAGAGTTGCTCCCTACATTTTAATTAAGCCCTTCCTTGGTTTGAATAAAAATTATATTATTATTAGATTTTGATAAATGTTGGTGAAATATATACTCGTAAAGTTAAAAAAAAAATGTTGAATCCTATAAATTATGTGATTAAAAATGAGTTTTAAGAAATAGGAACGAAACATGTAATAAACTTTTTAAAAGTTCAACAGAAATGCTGGTAAGACTGCCCTTGTTTGAACTCCATAATTTCGTTACATAAAAAATTATTTTTCTTCAAACTCATTTTTAATTATACATTTTTTTAATAAAATAGTATTACACGAAAATTTAAAAAAAAATCTTATTTTTTAATCATAGATTCTAAAATAATAATAATAAATAAAATAAAATAAAAATCTATTACAAAAGCATTTTTTTATTTTTTAAAAACAATCCAGCAGTATTTTGCAAGAAGTCATTAGAGAAGACCATAAAGAAAAAATAATGGACCAAGCTGTAGTTACAGGGAGGATTTTTACAGATGTTTCACAGATCAATCACAATGGGTGGGGTCGGTGTTATTTTTGGCCATTTTTTAATGCATCGGGTCCCGCGTGGGCTCGACCTTCATGAGAGTGACCTGTAGAAGGTCTGTAACTTCATCACCTGTACATCCAATTTAATCCAAAAATAATTGCAAGAAAATCTCTGTTCAACACGAGAACGAATGGCAGATTCTGCAGCACGAAATCAGTGGGAGCACAAAACAAAACAAAACATGTTTTACTCATATAGACCCGAATTACTGAAACAGGTTTTAATTAATTAAAACTGGTCGTAATTATAAAGTCATTATTCTGACAACTAATTGCAATTTATTGTGAATTCCAGACTTTTTGCAGGCTTTTTCAAAATTTAAATGTCTGATGTCTGTCTCATTTATCGAGTCCTCACTGCCACGCATTAAGTCCCGTTTGGATCCATTAATTTTCATTCCATTATATTTTATTTTTCTCCCTTCTATTTTTCACCACACAATCTTTCATAAAATAATATTATACATAAATCAAAATTTTTTTCTTCTTTTTCAACCACCCATTTTTTTTAAATATTATTCCACCCATTAATTTTTGCACAAAATGGAGGCTAATATATCCCATGCATAGGTGTCGCATTGAAGTTTGACTACTTCACCACTCTGAATGAACAACCATGCTTGGTGTACAACATTTTGTACACTAAACGTGACACCCCCTCACATAAGGAGACTAAGTGTACGGTTTTACGTGGACTGTAAACTTAGAAAAACCTCTGAATAAGTCACATTAAAAGAAGTACATTTCAAAAACTTCACTATATCACTTATATTTCCCCACTTGTCCGATTGTTGTCGAGCAATTTTTAGATATCAAACGGACCTCTCCAAAGGGTAATTTTAATGTGGCCGTTTTCCCCCTTTTTTGCAATTTTCACTATTATGTCCTCATGTCCACTGTGGACAGAAGATCAAATGCACATATAATCATCCTTGCTTTTTCTTTTTGGACCATACTACATGTATCGAATTTTTTTACTTAATTTCTTACCAACTACTCACAATAGGGAGTAGGGACCACATTTTTGGATTTTCTTAAATTATCTTGATCTTGAACCTTTGTTGAACTTGAACATACGATTTTGCTCTGCACGAGTATATTTATTAATGCCCTGAATATTTGTTTTGGATTCTAATTCTCAGATAAAACATTTATAATTTAATCGGAAGTTAACAATTAAAACCAGATTTCAAAATAATTTCGCTATTTCGATTTTGCTAGTCCTTGAAAACAGCGTTGCAACGAATAATTAAAGGTCACTATACAAGTAAGCCACCGCCAAAAAGGGCCTTACATGGCCGAGCCTGCTTATAGCCCTATTTTCCCCTTTATTTTAGGAGCACATATGAATAGTAAGATACTAAAGCAATTTATGAAAAAATGTTTAGTTCACTTATATTGTACCATTTTAGTGCAATGTATCTTAAACAACATAGACAATTTTCTACATTTGCGTGCAACGTATCTTAGACCACAGACACAATCTATCTTTGCCTGGATACCCAAGCATCATATTCCATAACAAAAACTAAGAATCATCCTAGTTTCTTCCTACATTCTATTAAGAAAGAATGGATACCAAAAGAAAAGGTTAAAAATAAATAAATAAACTAAATCAAACTTTCCTGGATACTGTATGCCTTTTTATCCCTAAGGACCGACCAATTATCTTGGAGGATGATATCCCAATTAATGTTGTTAAATATGATTACGTGGCATATTTTAGAGAAGTGGGCATAAATTCCAAGAGCACTATGGCCTCTATAAAATGGCTTTTGCCCCTCACTTGGAAGCTAAGACTCAGTTGCATTAGAAGACACAGCCCACTTAACTCTCAGAAAAACTAGCGCTAAACCTCACCTCACTTCACTTCACTTCAGCCATATATCTGCAATTTTCTGATCTGTATCTATTATTGAAGCAGTGAAAAGTGCTTATATACATATATGAAGATGAGCAGTGAATCTGTAGAAGGATCAAAGAAGAGAAAGTCAAGCAGAAGACTGGGAAGGTTTCTCAAAGAACAAAGAGGAAGGCTATACATTATGAGAAGATGTATAGTAATGCTTCTTTGCTGGCATGATTAAATTTATCAAAACAAGGACGAAGAAGATTAGAGAAATTTCAAGAATTAGGGGAGGATTTTTGTTCTTGGATTTACTACATTTTTCTTCCAAGTGTAAATACCAAGTCATTTTTAGTCTTGTTTATGCATGACAAATACTCTTCAAGTTTTAGTTCAAGATCTTACTATGAAAATTGTGGCTTTATTCGTTGATCTATAACAAGTGTTCATCATTTGATTTATTCCTTTTCTTTACTTTCCGGTTTGATTCAACAGTTATAATTGTGCATGTTTAGGTAGGTCTAGAAAAATTACTTCCAATTAATTTTATATATTTCAATAGTCAAACTTGCTTTGACGTTCTCATTCTCAATCATCTAGTCAAAGAGATAATCCTACCGATCAAAAAAAAAAAGAAAAAAAAAAGAGATAATCCTAAGGACATAGGTCATAAATATATAACATTTTCATAATCTTTATCCTGTATGTTACAAATAGTGTAAACTCAATAAATTTCTATTTATCCAAGGGAAAAGATTTTTCTATAATTATTTTGTCTTTCATTTTAAGATTTGATTATTTATTTATTTATTTTGAGTTAAAGGTCATTCAATCTCAAATCACGGTTTTTGAACCCATTAGTCATGGATGAGAATCCACAACGAGACATGTTGGTAATGGCCTCTCAGCTCTGTCGTGCTTCATTGTCATTCTTATTAAGAGTCTCATTTTTCAACGTGAATTCAACTTTATTCCTACCTAAATATATTTGATAAATGAGACATAAAACTTTACTTCTTGGGGAGCTGTTATGTACCTATATTCTATACGTACCAGAGCAAACAACGATTAAATCCATATTAATATTTGGGGAAGACGAAGATCCCATCTATCAATGAGTCCTTAATTTCTCCTTTAAGCTCATGTGGACACAACAACAATAAGTTGAACGATTTCAGTCTTTTCCAAATGCTTTATTTGTCTCGCGGCACTGTGGCATCTACTTCTGATAAGGGGATAAAAAAATCAAAATGAATGCATGTGGGTTTGTCCCACTGAAAAGACACCTAAAATGTCCTCCATTGTAGACTTTGTCCTTCGTTTTGGACTCTATATAAATTTATTAGTAACATTTTTTTTATATTCATTGCATAATGCCATAAATCATAGTAATAATTGAAATAACCTTTGTTGACCTCGTTTTTCGTAATATAAATGTGGTCAACAAATCTATACTCTTCTCATATTCACGTAAACCTTATTCTTGTAACTTGAACAAACTATTAGTTGTGTGTGACCTTTTCCAATGGTGGGAAGGCGTCCCGTGCACTTCAACAATCAATTCGGTCAACATATAAGAGCTTGAGTGTGAAATGTGGTAATGACATAAGAGTAAAAAGGACAGATTCGGGAGGATGTGAAGTGAATATATTATGAGCAAACTTATAGTTTTCAGAGTCTAAAATTATATTATCTTCAAATAACACTAAATATGAGCTTTGAAAATAGAGGAGGTGTGATGCTGATAGTTGGATGGAGAGACATATAGCCTCATCTGATGGTTGAGGTGTCAATCCATACATCACAAGCCTAAGTAGAATTCAATATTTTCGAAAAGTAGCCAGCCTATAGTGTCTGGGTCTGACCTCTAGATAGCAGGATGATGATTTGACGTTTTAGGCTCCTGTTATTGAGACGTCAATCAATCAATCGTGCGGGATCTTGTATGAAAGATTTCTTGAGAAGATGTGAAGTGGGAGATACCTTTTATTAATGTGGAGGCTAGTTGCCTCGGACTTCTTCCCTGCAACATGTGTGGCACTTCGCTTAGGCCATAGATGTCGGCTTCCACATGACATTTTTGGTTGAAGTGATGTTTCACCTCAGCTATCTTACATGTGGACTCACTTCAATCCAACAGAGGATAATGGGGAGTGTGAATTTGATTAGCTTGTTAACTGGTTACCACGTGAAGGTGATCTGAAACCTCGTCAGAAGAGATGCAACAACCTCCTGTAATGTACCTACATGATAAGACTTTCCTTGTTGGGTGAGTGTTGGTAGCAATTCATAAAATTGTGAAGTTTTGGAAATGTTTAAATTTTTATGTTTGATAAAAATAAGCACTGAAGTAATGAAGTCCACTGCCACTAGACGTGCTGGGGGGGGGGGGTGCCAACTTTTTAGTTCTTTATGATTTAGTCCCAAAAGTGAGAAATCTTAATAATGTAGTGATGGAATCAAACACTTTGTGCACGTGCAAACAATGTATAGTCAGTTTTAGACACTGTTTCCTACTGTTTGTTTTGGTCCCATCTGATTTGAGTCTAGTCAAAATTCCAACAATGTTTTACTGTATCATTTAGGTCCCATGCGACATAGCACCTGCAAGAATTTTGCTTGCTTCACAAGGCCTATACAGACCCACTCAGATGCCTGGGTGGGGTGATTATTTAAAAATAAATAAATAAATAAAATTTACCCACCCTCGTGTATTGTGAGTGGCATGTACAGACCCTCTGAAAATAAAGCCTGTACAGCTAGCAGGATTCGACCTGCAATATTACAGATACGCCTCTCATGATTTGTCCAAATTTTTTTAAAATTGGCTCTAAGACAAAACAGTGTAATGCGTTTGAAAAAGATTGTTTAAAACTTTTAAATTTGTAGATAAAATAGTTGTTTAATTTATTTTAAAGATTTGCAAGCCAAATTTTTATTTCCTTTTTTTAGTCCAGTTTTCACCTCAAAAAAGTCAATTTTTTCTATCGTTATTTCATCATTTCAATCGTTATTTTTTACTTCTTCACTCATAGGTGGGATCCACTTTTCTTTCTAACGATCAGAAAATCAATCCTCATAAACGCTAATGAACATGCACTACTATCAAAATGAATCTCAAATATATTTTATGAATTGTTATTTAAATGAATTTGATTGTTTTAAGAAGATGTTTGGTATGGATTAAAATTAAATTTTTTTAATATATTGTAATAGAAATTTTTGAAATATGTAATTGAAAAGTTGTGGAATCCATTAAAAATGTAATTAATATTAATTATTTGACTTCAATTTAAATTAAATGAAAATCGAATTTTAATTCGGACCGAAATCAACTTGGAGGCATCATTTTTGTGTGTGACACGTTAGGTGGACGGTGCTCTTGACAACTTGCATTAGCCATGACACGCCATAATGGGCTATAAGTCTTCACAATTCTGACACAAAATGCTGGGTTAATCAGTTGTTGACCGACACGTGTTGAGGACTAAGACAATATTGGTCAAACGGTACTGCAAGTCAGACTGCACCCAGTGCACCTTCTTCACAGAAAATCTAACTCCCCCGTGCACCTAATGCGATTCCATTCCCATTTCATTATTCAAAGATGGGGATTGTGATAAAAGCCCAAGGCCCACAACCTATTGCCTCAAATCTCTTTCTCAGCGTTTCCTTGGGCACGTTTGGTTCGAATTTTTAAGATTTCCTAATTAATTTCATGTTAAATACCATACTAAGAGCATGTTTGAGCTCCAATTTTTGCTCGAAATACATTTTAGAATAGCATTTTGATGAAAAATATGTCATTATAGAATAGAAAAAAAATTTAGATTTATGTGTAATATTATTTTATTGAAGAATGTGTGGTTGAAAATAATAGGGACCAGACACAGGGCTAAATACTTAGCCCCTATTTGAAGGCCAGTATAAAGATAAATGAAGATAAATGATATTTTGAATAGTAATTTTTTGGAGAATATGAGGTTAAATGCAGGAAAATATTTTTTTAATTTATGCGTAAAATATTTTATTGTGCGAGTATATAGTTGACAATAAATATGAAAATAAAGAATTTTGATTTAAAGAGAGTCAAACAGGGACTTAATTATGCTGATGCTAAAATTTTACATATGAAGGAAAGTAAAATTTGGAAGAGCATACACCACTGCATTTCACCTTGAATTTTAACACATCTTGTCATCGAACTTTTACATCTAAAAATAAATTAATTAATTAACTCTTTGATTCTGGGCCCAATAGTTAACAAGTAATTTTTATTTGTTGGGTAACATATTCAGTAATTCTGAACGAAGTTTCGTAATTATGCCCAGAATGAAGCTACATGTTTCTCCATGACTACCTTCCGCCCAATCAAAGACCCACCATGATATGGACCAATAAGCCCACCAAAACCCTCTTCTAAATGACCCCTCAAACTTTCTGGCCTTTTGTGTGTACTTTTTATTTATTTGGGAATAATCATGGTAGATTTTGAAACATTGACACAAATAACACTAGAATGGACAGGCATCAATATCCAGAAATCTGAATCATTTGAAATTACATTTTTATCTTTTTTTTTTTTTTTATTCTCCCTTTTTCGACGTGAAAATTGTCGGATCTTAACTTCTGAAAAATTGTACTACAAAGACAAGATGGGGTGTCATTTATAGTATATGCTGCGAAGCTGATAAATATATTAGTACGATAAGGTTCCTATTACTAATTCCATTTGTCACTAATTCGATTTGTCACGCACAAATTTTTGGGCCAAAGAACATGGGACTATATTCCTATATTCTCATCCTGTCTTAAGGCCAATAATAATTAAGCATTTCTTTCTATCTTCCTAAATACACTAGCGAAATGTCCGACACTTTCGTCAGTTTTAAGTTTCATGAATTAGACAATTAATTTAACAGTTGTAAACCTTATACACAAGTGTTTAATCATGCTTAATTGATAGAAAAACAACTGAATTAATTCGGATCACAGCTTTGTTACTTTAAGATTAATTATTTTAGAGGAAATTGCTAGAAATGTCCACTTTCACATGTCCATTTGTAAAAGTGTCCACTTTCACAAATCCTTACAAAAATATTCATTTTGGAATATTTTGGACCAAAATACCCATGTGAACAATTTATGATTTCACACAAATACAAGAAATGAACATTTTTGCAAAAAAAATTATTAGCCAATAAAATTTTGACACATAATCTGTCATATTTATTTTAAATGTGCACATGTCAAATCACAATTAATGCTATTTTTCTCATTGACATAGAAACGTCGAGATTACATTTCAAGTATAGAGAATTGTCATATTCGGAATAAAATGTCATTTTAGATATTTAAAATGTCGAGAATAACGTTTGAATGTCGAGAACATTTAATATTGTGATTTGACATGTGTACTTTTAAAATATAAACG